TATTTAGCACTAACTGTGCTGTAGGTAAGAAGTATTCCGGCTTACAATGAAAGAAAATGGCAGTTTGATGACGGGGAGGGGAGGGGGCATTTTGCATTTTTTCTATATCCCATCGATGTGTCGCCCCATCAGGAGGGAGACCTGTGGAATCTCGTGAAGCCACGAAATGATACCAGCCAAAGTTCGTGGAGGCCACCTGTCCACTATTGCGATGCAATGGAATACCATACAAATACCACTTGCCACGGTGCCTCAACGAGCTCACAGGTTTCACCAGAGTGAACTTTGTAAACCGGAACAAGTGAAAGCAGCGGAAGTGCTAAGCCCCCCTCTCCTCCAGACATCATTCATTCCCAAAAACTCCCAAAAAGTGCCGACAAACTCACGCACCTTCAGCTAATCCGCTTTCCAGTTTCAATTGTTTCTTTTCAAGGTCTGCCAGTGCAGATGTACCAAAGCGGATTACCTTAAATATCGCTATTAAAGGCACATTCCACGATGACTGTAGGGCAATTAGGTCTGACATTGCGTCTCCCTCATCGTTGGTGCCCCTTCTTCTCAATACGTGAGGGCAAAGGCGCATCAACGAGGAAAACAAAATGACAGACACGACCCCGCCCACACGGTCAGCGTGGACTACGTAGAAAAAGCAGCTCATTGAAGATGATCACTTACCTGAGCGTAATATCCGTTATGATACGCTACAATCATCGCAAATGGATATGTCCGTGACAGCCATTCTTGACAACTGACCGAATTTGTGGTGAAAAACTGCCGTGATAGCTGAAATAGAGTTAGAGCACCTTGCTTAGTGCAAGTTCCTGTACGGTGAGGAAAACTTGGAGCTCTTCTGTGGAGAAGATTTACCAGCGGCCTCAGGGGTGGAGTTTGTGTTCTGGGCGGAGTTGGTGTGGAAACCACGCAGAGGTTCGCACATTTCCACACCGACCCCACCCAGGACATAAACTCCGCCCCTGAGGCCGCTGCTAAATCAGCAGTGCGCATTTGAACTTCGAGCACCACTAGACTCAACAAGAATATTTTACCCCCGGTCCGCGCACTGGGTAAGCATGCCACTTGTCACACCCACCTCTGCCTAATCCAGTGATACTAGAAAAGTACTGGATGAAACTTTGGCGCAGATGGGTCTGGTGGAGCGCCAAATGGTACTTGGTGAAGCTTCTTCAGGACGCCTTGTTAAGACCTGTGAAGTCCTGTAAGAGGCTCACTTCTACCGTTTCGCAGCTTCACAAGAGTTTACAGATTTCACCAAAGTATAACATGTTAGTTCACTAGAGCTAGCGAAGGAACTAGTGAAAGGCAAAATGCCTCTTCCAAGCCGAACATTGCCTTTCATCCCGCACCACTACATCAAACAAGGCAAAGAACCCTGCCGTAATGCTAAGCAGCTAATTACATGCCACAAAAAGCAGGTGGATTCAGCGACTTTCTTTCCGCTACGGTGGGTCCATTGAAACTTCTGCCTTTGACTGGGTACTCATGCATGTAAGCCTATTGAT